GATTAAAGCTTCAACATTGTTTTATAAATTCAAAAATAGGAAGATATATCAACAAAACAATGTTAGTAGTTGTCAATTGTAGGGGTGTAAGCGGTCCGATTTTATCGATTTTTGACAAATTTTCAAACCAAACCATTTCAACCGGTTTGAGTTTTACTCGAACATAAACCAAACCGTTTTGATCGGTTTGGAAAAAACTCAAACTTAAACCTAACGGTTTGGTCCGGTTTTAAACTGCCGGTTTGGCGTATATTTTTTTGCATGTCTAGTGTCTACTTTTATACTATTAATTTAATATATATTTATATCTCACTGGCAATAAATCTAAAATAAACTAAATATATCTACTATAAATTTAAATACCAACAAAATCAAAGTAAAATCACAATAAACTAAAATCACAATCATATAATTTTAGAGACAACTTAGACGGTTTTCATGTTTAAGAATCAAGAACTCGCAACTATATAACTAAAATCACAGAACTTCGAATAGAAATAATTCACATATCACAAAAAATCACGAATTTGAGGATTTTCAAGAATCGAGATGACAAACTATGTTTAGTAATAATTTAGACGGTTTCCATGTTCAAGAATCAAGAATACGTAGCTATGTAACTAAAATCACAAAAAAAATAAAAAAAAATCACAGAACTAACCCATATGCCACAAAAAATCACGCAATCTTGCAATGAAATTGAAGGCTATCAGTTGTGACTGACCGTAGACTGTCTGACCGTCGCTGGCAATTGAAAATTCTGACCGTAGACTACCGACTATTTGAGGAAAATTCAGGAACGAGAGAAAGAGCAGCAAGCGAGAGAAAGAGAGATAAATGGAAGTTAGGGATTATGGTTGTATTTGTGAGAATTTGAGTTCTTTTTTTTTTTTTTAATTAGGATAGCGGGTCGGTTGGGATTTGGACGGGTTGTAAATCGTAATAACTAATAAGAAATTAGAAATTGACAAAAATACCAACAAAATAAAAAAATTATTGAATTTACAAAATTGAAATTTTGGATAGATTTTCAAAAAAATCAATTTTTTATTTTTTATTNAATGTACAAAATTAGAATTTTGGATAAATTTTCAAAAAAAAAATCAATTTTTATTTTTTATTTATATATTTTTTCGCCGGCCCGATTTGGTTTTAAACCGTAATTAAAATTCTCAAACCTAAATCAAACCGGTTTTGGTTCAAAACCATTTCGTTGATGGGTCCACGTGGCACCAAACCGCCGGTTTCGAAATTGCGGTTTAGGTTCGATTTTTTGATTTGATGATTTTTACTTACAGCACTAGTCAATTGTGACTTCAAAGCCCTCCATATCTATTTCGGGATAATAACTTGTCTCAATTTGTTATTATCGTCTCAGTTTGTGATCGTCTTAAAAAATATGATCTACTGTGACAATAACTTCCAATTTGTCGCCTCAATGGTTCGATTATTTTCAATTGCCAGATTCCGACAATAGCAATCGAGAATATGATAGATCCGTGTTGCTTTTCTCTTTTGTTTGGAGGTGGTCATGGTTTATTCCATTTTGGAGTCCTGTTTGGAATGATAACTGAATGCTTGATTTTAAGATGTATATTTAATAGATTCTAATTTATATATATAATATATACTACCTGACTTTTGAAATATTAAACATTGTTCCTTAAAATTGAAATGGTATATATTTAACACCTGATATATAAATATATTATGAGGAAATTACACCCTACCCTGCTTTTAGATTTCCACTTTCAAAAATCCTATCACAAGTTTTATTTTTCAAAAATTAGGTTTTAATATTTAGTTTAATATTAATTATATTATTTTCCCCAATTAAAAAAAAAAAAAATCAACCCTAAAATTCATTCTCCCCTCCCCGTCCTCTCTCTCTCTCTCTACCTTCAATTCATTCTCCCCTCCCCCACCCCATTTTCCCCTCCTCGTCCTCTCTCTCTCTACCTCCGACCTCCCTCTTGCCTCACCACTGCCATCGTTTTCCGCCGGCATCTTCACCGATCCAACCGCCAACCATGTCGTGGAAGCCATTAACATTTCCACTGCCAACCATGGTCTTATTTCCAATCGATCCGTCGCCTCTGCCTCTCTTCGCAGATCCATTGTCTTTCTCTCTCTTTTTTTTTTTTTCTTTTTTTGCAAATTGAGCGGAGTGGTGGAGGTTGTGTTTGCGGTGGGTGTGGTGAAATGTGTCTGTGAGTGCTGTGGCGATTGCGATTGGGCGTTTGTGAAGGTGGGGTGTGCGTACGGTGCTGCTGTGTTGCTTTTTTTTTTACTGGTCTTCGGAGTTGGGCGGTGTTGATGTTTCTGTGGTTGCGGTGTGAAGGCGGAGTGTGCGTTGATTGGGTTTTTTCTTGTGTTGTGGTCAGGAGATCTGCACCACAGTGGTCTGGTAGGGGGACGGTGGTGGGCTGTGTTTTCAGTTGCGGTGGATTAGGCGCGGCGGCACAGTGAAGGTGGTGGTGGGACGGTTTGGTGTATAGAGGTGGTGGTGGTGAAAACGTCGACAGAGATGTTTAGAATGGGGATTTTGTTGCTGGATGTGGTGGTGTTGGTGTTGACGACAGTGGTTTTGTGTTGGTGGTGGTCACAAATTGTGACCAATAAATTTATTGGTGTGTGACCAATAATAAGAAATTGTGACTAAGAAAGACTATGTGATTCACAAAAAATTATCAATTGTGACCAATAAAAGTTGTTTGTGACCTATAATTCGATGTTTTGTGACCATAAAATAAGGTGTGTGACTTAAAAATTTTATGATTTGTGACCGATGAAACAATTGTGACTTTTAAATTTTTTATTTGTGACCGATGAATGAATTGTGACCAAATTGTATGGATCTATGATCGTTATATATTTATTAATAAAAAATATAATTAATTAAGCAATTCATAAATAAATTTAAATAAAAACCTGATTTTTGAAATTTAAAACATCTAAACCTTAATTTTGAAATGTGTATAAATAAAAGTAGGATTTATGTAGACTTCCCATATATTATTCCCTTAAAGGTACGTGAAAGTCCAATTGTCAAAATCCAAAACCCAAATTACTGAATGTTTAGGAAATGACGAAACTCTCCAAATAGGCCAGATCCAAATGTAATATACAGAGCTTCCTTCTTGCTATTTGAATCAAAGGCCCATTACTCCAAATTGTCAAAACTGTCTCCAAGTATGCTCTCTTCTTGATTTACTCTCCCTCTCTCCTTTGTAAATTCCCCCCTCTTCTTTCCATTTTTCATTCAACTTTCCATTTGTTAAATGAATTCCTCAAATCGTCAAGAATCTGTCTCCAATTCTCTTAGTCTATCCTTTAGAGTTCATTTTACAAATCAAAAGTTATGTTCACCGATTGAGTAAGCATATATATTTTACAAGTGTTTATATGTAATTGTGTTTATAAACAGATAAAAATAAGCGATGAATAAATAGTTAGTAATAGTACCTGTAAATCTCATGAAATATGTGAATAAAAATAATTTGATTTGTAACGTGTTTATACATGCTTGCCCAACAAACTCTTTGTCATTGCACACAACAGAAAAAGCTTGGCACTGGGAAGGACATATCAAAATGCCACAACGGACCATGTTGAAATTTGTAATAGACAATCTCGTCCAGTTCTACTAGTGGGTCGGAGTTTGGACTTGGCCCCCTCTACAACTCGACTGTCTAACCGATTGACAAATATTACTTTGGCAATATTTCAAATCTATTTCCTTATGAATATTAGAAGTAAGCTGATGAATGAATCTGCTGTAATTCCACGAGCATCCCCACCAAACATACACATAAGAGGAGAAGATGTTACGGTCCTCTAAAGCCCTCCACCCCATCCATCCACCTCGTCCGCCACGGATTAACCGAACCGATCTGGTATCGCCTCGTGGCAAACAAACTAAATCCATGACGAACGAACTGATTATATAACTCCAAACTGAAGCGCTATCGCCCCCACCTAATGGAAGCACCGAACTCATCCGTCAATCGCAGTGGATAAAAATGCCCGCACTCCATGTTCGTTCCGCCTCGCCATCTCTCTATCAAGATCTTTTCAGGGATCTCCAAAGTTAAGTTCTTGACTGACTAATGGGACGTGTGGCAGGCTACCAATGGTCAACTCAGCTGATATGTCAGAAACCATTTAATACCCGTTCACCTATTGACTGATAGATTGACGTCTATGAGGATTTGACTCATCTATGATATGAAACCACGTGTCCTTTTATCCAACGGTCCATCTCTTTCATTTCCTAGTATAAATACCCCCACACTGGTAAGAGTAAGGGGATCCGATTTTTTCCACTAAGATTATGCATTATAATCCTTTAACTCTGAGGAGCTCTTCTATGTATTCACACTCATTTTCAACCACATCTCGGTGACCACTTCAACATTGGACACCACTCTCCAGTTGACTGAAACACTGACTTGATCGTCGGAGTGCTTGTGGCCGCCTCCACCCCCCATCGAAAAGGTCACGAGTGACTGACGGTGTGTTTTCGTGTGCAGGGAGGAGCATATGTGGAGTCTCGTTCTATTAGCCACGTGTTGGAGCTATTTTTCGAGGTCAACTGAAGACATGCATAGGTCATCTAGTAAAAATATACGACAAAGAAACGAAAGAAGAAAATAACACCCAAAAAAATTAGTCGACAGAGGAACAATCCGGAAGGTTGACTTAGAATGATGATATTAATTTCAACGGAAAATTTCAACCACACGGGAAATGCTTTTGATTATGCAAGTAGCCAAATGGCAAATACAACATCACCGACAACATTATCAAATACTGAGCCTAAAACACTAGAACCGAAGAAGGAAACTACTATAAATACAGGTGTTTGATAGGTCCCTGAAACTAATTTTGTTAACATCAGGAGGGGGACAAAAATGAATTTTCACATATCAGCACGCCACATATTAACCTAAGGACCACACACCCCATTCATATTCGATCAATCCAGATAACTACTTGATTTAATCACTGTCTTCACTTCTCGATTTCTTTTTCTTCTTTTTACCTTCACTTGCAGCTGAAATATCTTCAGTGTTCTCATCTCTACTCTTTTTCTTTTTCTTCTTTTTGGCTGTTCCATCGTCGGCATTGAATCCATTTGCACCATTAATATTCTCTGAAAGTTCATTATTTTCCTCTTGTGCCAATTTTCGCTTCTCCTTTTTCTTCTTCTTCTTTTCACTTTTAGGTTCTTCAGGAGCGTCTCCATTAGTAACAACTGCCTGTTTATCCTGTGCCATGGGTTCAATGTCATCCTTTGCTCCAGCTTTGTATTTCTTTTTCTTGCTTTTTTTTGCAGAAAGTTCTGCAGCGGGTTCATCTACATCCATTTCCGTATCTGGGAACATGGTAAGAGAGAAAATGAGCAAACTGTGCATACCCTATATGCAGATTAATGATTGTACTAGACTAAGTGTGAATAGAGAAAATTAAGAGAATGACAAAAGGAAGCAAATTTAAAGATATACACGGGTGCATATATCTATACAAATTCTACATCCGTCAGAAATTGCGTTTCTTTCCTCATTTCCAAACCTCGGACATTCAGAACTTAATCAGTTGCAGCAGAATATCAGGTTAAAACTTCACGAAGTAAAAGAACATAATAATCCATAATTCTCTAATGTCATTTTATCAAAACTTAATCTCCAGTTCCTTTTCCATAATTTTCAGAAATGTATTGTATAAAGAAGTGTATTAGGCCCACCTTTGGTCTCAACAGTTTCAATAGCAGATTTCATCACATCTAGGTTTTTACGAGGAGCAACCCCTTTATCATAGAAGTCTAGACGCTCCTCAACTTGTTCACGGAGCTTTTCTCCAAAAGCAGTGGTATTTTTCTCTGTGCCAATGAGAGATCATAACATGTTAACAATTTGCCACATGTGCAAGATGGAAAAACTGACTATTCTTTTTTTCTGAAAGAGTAGGAACTCGCCTAAGAAACAGTCAATGCGAGAAGCAATAGAGCACTTATTCGCAAGATAACGAGCCATCCGGCCTTTATTCCGAGTAGAAGCACGGCCAATGAAGGAGGAATGGAATATAAGGCCATATTTTGGAGTATTCCCACGAGTTTTCAGTGCCCTGACAACAAAATAACATAAGCAATATTAAAGCAAAAAAGGTTAAGCATGACAAGGCTATATATCTGACTTTCATTACAAGCAACAATTCTCACTCTATCGCGTTGCAGATTAACGTGTATTATTTTATTTCAATATTTCACCTGGAATTCACCAAGTTAGAAGTCAAAAAGGCTACTCAACCATGGATGGTACTTAAGTATAGTACCTAAAAAGAGCCTTCTCGGCACCAAGGATCTGAAGAGTTGAAGAAGGACACTTTGCCAAGTTTGTGAGACTGCCAGCATGAGAAATCAATCGAGCTCCAACAACTTCACCAATCAGTGCAGCCAAATTAGGTGCTATGTCATTCATTTTGGCAACCAAATAATCATAGAGCTTCTTCCTATACTCTGCAAGGTCCATTACCCTTTCCGCGAATTGCTTGACATTAATAAGGTCTATTGGTGACAAATCCTGTCCTGAAAAAGTAAAGAATGCCAAGTCAATAATACTAACATGCATTTTCATTTCTCAGGGATAATAAAAATCCTACCCATGGATGCTTTGGCAGCCTCTATAATTTCCTTTGCTTTATCTTCGTCCCCAGCTATATCAGTTAGGCCTGGTAAATGGTCTTCAGACAACTGTGATTTATCCTCCACGTATTTCGCAACTTTCGCATAAAGATAGTTGTCATTAACAATCTTCACCAATTCGGGGAAATGCCAAGAGTACCATTCTCTACATCATACAGAAGTGGCAGAGACCATGATTCATAGAGCTAAACCCATATAAACATGCAAATATGTGTTTTGCTTGTGTGACTAAAAATTGAAGAATTACATATAAGCCAATACAAGTTTTCCATGTGACGCAAAAGGGCAGTAGCAAGCAACAAATACACAAACCTGACTCTCATGGAAAAGGAATTGATATCTTTATCAAGAGTATCAAGAAGAAAGATAGCCTGAATAACCATATTGTCTACACGGTTCACATTGAACTTGACCTTTGCTCTGCTGTAGCTGTGACCCAGACCAAGCTGTGCTTTCTCCAAATCACCAGGCTATTTATTTTTTACAGGAAGGATGAGCAAACAAATAAACCAATGGTGCAGTTTCAGAAAGAAAATCTACAAACCTTATTTTTCATTAAGACAGAAAATTGAGAAATAGCAAACCTTTAGGTTTTCAATGAACCTATCAAAATGCAAGCGCACACCTCGAAGAAGCTCGAGGACAAATTCGTTGCTTTGGCAAGGGATTTTAGTTACTTCACAAATATGTGACCCAAGTTTAGGCTCTGCCAGTCCTAAACTGAATTTAGGCTTTTTCCCTTCCTTGATTTTTGGAAGAGTAAGCTCCAAAAAGTTTCTCAGCTCATCAGTCATTTGCCCTAAAAACCACATTATTAGAGATATTTTTATTCTCGCAGAAATTTTATGCGCACCAATGAGAAGTAACAAACCCATGGAATGATTCATATAGCTGGAAAAATATTCTCAGTCTTGCTACTTGCTAAATATAAACAATCCGGGGTTACACCAAATAATTATCAACTTATGCTCCACTTTTCTCCCTTAAATTTTTTAAAATTCTACATTGCTTTGATTTGCCATGGAATACCTCTAACTGGAGAACCTAAAAATATATAGAAATTAACAAATCCAACAATTAAACCCCATTACCCAGGCTACTTTGCTCCACCCCTAACCCCAGTTAGACCTTTGGTTCACTCGCTCAACTTATTTTCGTAAATAAGTAGTTATAAATTTTATTTCAATTAAGATACTTTTATTTTAATCAATGACGTGTGTGATTTGGCAAACAGACAATTAGGCGGACTTCTTTTATTGCTCTCCGTTTCTTTGATTTGTGATGGAACGCCTCTAACTGGAGAACCTAAAAATTTATAGAAATTAACAAATCCAACAATTAAACCCCATTTATCCAGGCTACTTTGCTCCATCCCAACCCCTGGCACACAGCACAGGAGGCCTGTAAATTCTTCTTTCGATTCTCATTGTCCTTTCCTTCAAATATATGTACATATAGTCCTAGAAAAAATACCAAACTCTATAGAAATAATATCAAGGTAGAACTTTTGAAGCACAATTAACCATCATTTTTCAAATTGAACATCATAATCACCTACGAGTAAATGACTCCCATTTATTTATTTATTTTACCTTCGGAGACCGCATTGCATTGATTGAGAGCATCAAGGGCGGACTCAAACGGACTAAATGCCGCGAGCTTAACTACTTTTCCGAACCGGTTCAGGTCCGCCACGGACCCCCGAACCGCCTCCGTATTCTGCCCAATTTCATCGAGCCCGTGCGCTAGAAACAGACTGTAACCCGACGCCGACTCATACAGTATGTACAGCGCCATTACTAGCCCTCACAACTTCTCTATCTCAATCTATGTTTATGGTTTTTGTGGTGGTCGAGGGAGAGGGCCGGGGCTTTTGGGGCGAGGGTTTAGGAATTAGGGTTTTCTGCGCAAGCAAGTATATCCTCCTGGGTAATGCTATTTATGGAACGTGACGTGGCAATCCATCTATTATTCGAAGTTCCAATCCCAAGCCCAGTCTCAGCCAAATTAAATGAAAAATATAGTCGTTATTTGATCCATATAAAATATAAAAATTTGAATTTGAATATTGATGTGATTGATAAAGGTTATATTTTTTATTTTGATAATATAATAGTGTATATCAGCCTGTTTGGTGCACATTAAAATGAGATAATGCATTTTTTTGAAGTGATGTGATGAGAAATATGTGGTTGAAAAAAAATAAAAAGTTATTGATGTGATGGAAAATATTATTTTATTAAAAAATGTGTAGTTGAAAATGAGTAAAAGAATGAGAATGAAAAAAATAATGTGGATCAAACAGGGGCCAAACTTGGGCTCTGTTTAGATGTTGTCAATTTGGCTTTGTCTTTCATTTATCATATCATCTACTGTTATCTACCTACAATGTGATTGCAACTCCAATATGACTACATATCATTACTCAGTCTATTATCCCTCACATTTATGTCTCTCCTTCTCATCTATCATAAAAATTGAATTGTCAAATTCCACTCTTTCACATAAATAACCACATTGTTTCATCATTATAATGATAAATAGTGTTAGTCTATCATCCTCGTATACATATGGGCGAGATTGTAAGAGTTCATAAATTAGGGTCTTCCAATTTTAGCACATCGGCTATTTTGTACATTATAATAGCACATTGAGAATGTTTTTTTCATTTTTCGTAAATCACTTTTAAGGGCACTCGAGTTTCAACATGCTAGTCATGCTCATTTTTTAAAGTATTGATTTTGAGAGTTTACGAGCTGATCGATTTTAAATAGTTTTATTTACGATTTTTGAAACTGTCCAACTAGGGAATTTATTATCCATCGATTTTAAAAGTTCTTAAAAAAAATAAAATTATATGTATGTCTCTTAGTAAAATTTTCAGTTTGATGTTTTTTATATTCATAAGTTATATTTTACTTATAGGTATTTTTTTTACATACAAGTTAATATTTAACTTAAAAAATTAAATAAAGTTAAATATTTGCTTAAAATTTTAAGTTAGTATTTTTTTACTTATAAGTAAATTTTATAATTATAAGTTAATTTTATACTTTTAAATAATTTTAAGTGAGTTTTTATACTTATAATTAACTTTTTATAATTTATAAGTGAAATTTTGACTCATTAGTAGTATTTTTATTTTATAAACAATTTTTTTATGTAAAAGTGATTTTTTACTTATAAGTATTTTTTAATTATAATCTAATTTTTGAATTTTGTTGCTTGTACATAAAATATATACATAATAGATTACATAATATAAGGTGAATGGAAAATATTGGATGAAAAAATTGATTTTGTTTTGAATTGACAAATGATAAAGTGTCATGTGCTAGTGACATATGTAATCTATGGAGTAAATCTTGGTTTACATGTAGCAAAAATAAATTTTAAGGCAATATATTTTTATTTACAAGTTGGTTTTGAAAAAAAAAATGTTGATTGGAAATAATTATTTTATAGATGATACAATTAGAAGAAAATATGAAAAATGATCAAAATCCATCAATTTGTGAGTTGAGAGAACAATTAAAATCATACTACACCGATTTTGGGTGGTTTTTAAACCATCCAAAACCATGCCAAAAATAAATAATAATAACAAGCATCGTTTTTCCAACCCCTCATAAACGGTGCCATCCAAAATCGTTGAAAAAAAAAAAACCAAACATGCTCTAATTCACTTTTAACACCGATTTCTTTTCTTTTCACTCCTTAGAGCTTGTTTGGGAGAGATTTTTGGGGAAAAAATTAATTTTGAATAGTGATATGATGGGAAATGTGTGGTTGAAAAAGAAGAAAAAATTATTGATGTGATGGAAAATATTATTTTATTGAAAAATGTGTGGTTGAAAATGAGAATTGATTTACTGTAGAAAAATTTAATCCCTCCCAAACAGGGCCTTAGTATCATTTAGATTCTTGAATATGTTTATTTTCTTTAATGCTTTCTTTTGAAAAAAATTAATAGAATTTATATGATTTAGTGAAAATAATTATATATAGTATATAATCGTGTTCTTTATAGCATACATCAATTCCTAACTAATTGTTTGACGTGGAGTTGTACACATAGAACCACGCTGATAGTTGTTGATCAACTGTAACATACCCAACTCCCCGAATGGTTGCAAACTTCATTATCTGGTGATAGGCCAGCATCACTATTCTGGCCTCATTCAGTGGTGGAAGATCTTAAAATTTCATTGTACGCTATAGAAACTGATGATGCCAAAAATCGTACATGGGCCAACCCAAACTGGATGGAAGAGCTTCGCTTGATCTGATCTTCAATACCTGAAATAAAGGCGTCGAAATTTGTTCTTGTCGCCCCTCCGATACTTAAGTCGGAGAGAGGAATTACAAAATATATGTTGAAATATTATGAAAAACATACCTGAATAATGAAACTATGTTATGTATTTATAGATGTTGGAGGGAGAGTCCTGGAAGGACTTAACTTCCTGTAATTCTAGTTGTTTTACGTGTTTGTATTGTGTTAGAAGTGCACAATTTGTGTTAAGGTAAAATTTGTAATGAATTAGGAGTTTATACTTAAGTAGGACTAGCATTTCTAGGCCCGATCTCATATTGGACCCGAACTCAGAATCAGCCCAATTGGAGTGGGCCAAGATCAGGCCTACTAGCTCAAGTTCGGGTCAAGTAGCTCGAGCTCGGGCCTATCAATATTTTTTCTGCATCAGAAACTTTCGCTATCACGAAGTTTGTCATGATTATCGCACTCATCTAATTAGTGCCCAAGGTAGCTTGTAGCTTGACCATTCCTTTTGGTATGACAGTTTTTATTCCAACTCCTTGTATATAGGAGTACTAACTGGTTGAATCTTGTTTGAGAATTTTTTTAGACAGGATAGCTTCATATGTCATTACATCAGTAGCCCTGCCATTATTGACTAGTTTTTGACTAACTCCAAAATCTATTATTTCTCCCGTGATCTTATGCATCATCATGGGAACGGGTGGTTCCTTTGAGCATCTTTCATTGAAGATGGTGTCTTGACTAAGGGCCCGTTTGATTCTCATTATTGTAGAATGAGAATGAAAAATATATTCGTTATTGGGCCCCACAGAAGAGATAGAACTTCAAAATTGATGGCTTGATGTGATGGATCATGATCATATTTTTCATTTTTATGGATAAAAAATGAAAAATAAACGGAGGCTAAATTTATTATACTCAATATTGAGTTTGAACCATTAGATTGGGGATAATTCTTTATTGCGGAATCAGAGTCATCTCTTGGTACGATTTTATCCACTATTATTTTTATCACACACCGGTCATATGGGCGGAATGGGCCCTTTACTTTCTTTTTCTTTCCTATGATCAGATTTTGAGAGGTAGCCCCTTTTTATTTGGTGCTTGATTTCATCTTTCTATTGGGATAATCTTTTATGTCATGCCCATTGTTACACTTGTAAATTATTTGGCAAGCGCGTGACGAAGGGGGTCTCATATATGTCGATCGGTATCAATTATTCAATTGATTAACCCAATTTTAATTAAACAATCGCATCTTAGGCTTAGTCCATTAACCAATTTGCTCATTTACATTTTCCTATATATAAGTGAGTTCACTTCATTAAAAGGTAAGTAACCTAACCCTAACCAAATCCCGTCTCTCTCTTACCTTCATATTATCTTTTGTTTGACTGTTGAGTTGATCGTCAGAGTGCAAATGATCATCGGTCCCTTTTTCGACCTACAACCTTTGCCTTTTAATGGGATATTGAGTGTGTAGGTGATGTTTACAAGGAGGTGAGGTGGTTGGGATTATGTTGGCCCATTTTTTTAGGTCAACAGATTGACGCAGTTCGTGGGAAACGATACAATTAACTACAAAGATATCACGTGAGGAAAGGCCAATCAAAAAATTCCCGAAGAAAAAAAAAAGATGATGACGAGAAGATACAAATCGAGATCTGAAAAAATTCTTTGAAAATGGTGATTTTCGGCCATGAAAAGGACTATTGAAAGTAGATCTGGAAAGATAAGCGATCTGGTACAAAGAGGAAAAACTCTACTATTGTTGCAGCTAGAGAAGAAATGGCAGGGAAGAAATCAATTTTTTATCCAAAAACCCCAAGCCACCTTGGAAGCCCACTCGATCATCATAGTTGTTCTACTAAAACATTGGCTAGTCTCTGGTATCGGCCACTATCGAGACCGACTTATTCTCCAACGAGACCACTACAGCTTTTGCAATCGGCAACACAACTACCACTACCAACCACATAATTGGCAGCCACTAAGGTTTGCTTTCAGCTGCAAACTATTTGAGATAACATCACCACTCATCTTCCTCCAGTCATAGTTGACTAGTTGAGACACAACGAAGGGGACCGATGCTTTGGGTTCAAGAAAATGGATTACATATTTGATATAGTATCACATTTTTAAGGTTGCAACCTAGTTGTTTGATGAAATTCCCAAGCCAAGATTTTGCCTCTGGCCAATTTATGAAAGCCTTTGTTGTTATCATAGAGATAATTGATATGTTTTATGATTTTCAGTTGCCGTTGTTGATGCGTCAGCGCCTCGTAACACACTACAGTCGAAGAGTTCGTCGTTGGATGATTCTCACATAAAGAATTGTGAGTGGTTTCCAATTTATATATTTTATTGTTGAGAGCCTGCTAGATGTTAACTAGATATGATGGAATTTTCTTTTTTCGAAAGCAAACACCACCACAAAGGCAGCCTCGCATCGGTAAAGGCTATTAAGATAGTCATTGGAGCTCACAACTTTCTCAAAGTATTGTTTCATTTATCT